AAACAGATTGCAGACCAGTTCCCAGGAATGTGACCTTGGTGTACTCGTACAGAGCGACCTCAACTATTCCAAACAGGCAGAGGTAGCTGCGAAAACAGGCAACCAGCACGTCGGCATGCTGCAAAGGGCATTCGGGAGATTGACCTATCAATCTTCCCAATGATGCACAATTCCTACATGCGCCCCCATGTTGAATATGCTATCTAAGGTTGGCAACCTTGGTTGATGCGCGACCTAGAGGCGTTAGAGGCATCACAACGAAGAGCAACAAAATATGTACAGGGTCTGCGCTATCACTCATACCACCGAAGGCTGAAGTTGACGCAAATGGAGAGAAAAAGAGCAAACAATCACTTGTCAACAAGTCATGACAAATGAGTACCATACCTTGTAGATCGATTAAAAAGGGATGCAACAACAGTGCCCGGACTGTTGTATGCTCAAATGTCCCTGAATGCACCGCCATCACATTGCGGGATAAGTTATCAGACGACCAAGACCAATGGAACTCATTGTGTATGCAGATGAGTATCAAAGCCAAACACATAAACTTGTTACGAATTACTCGTCATCCGAACTCGCCACACTATGGCGAACCCAGACTTATTCGAGTAACTCTAGAATCCTCCACCGACGTAGAAAATGTTTTGCTCTCCGCAAGCGCGCTAAAACACGAATCCTGTGGGATATGTATCTATCCTGATGTCCCTTGGAGCGCGCGACAACCAAAAGGAAACACCGAAGAACGGCACAGCAAACAAGACCGCCTAAACACAGTCTTCATACACGGCGTGCCAGAACATCCTTCTAACGATGTTCAAGAGACCGGAAAGCACGATTTAGAACAGTGGCGGTTCATTCGTGAAACACTTTTTTTGGATGATGTTGTAGCACTATCGCTCACCAGGATACCTCTCTCATCAAATTATAGAGGATGCGGCCCTAGAATCCTAAAACTTGTGGTTCAGTCAGAGAAACAAGCAAAGGATGTTTTAGATCGATGGCGGAGAAATCGGAAAAATCTTCCTTCCGAAATTCGGTTAAAGCTCGCAAACAATTCGCACAGCTCAAGTATTAAAGCAACTGAAGCAGCAAGCATCCTGACGAACGTACAGAAGTGTAACTTGACTGCTGCTTTACTTGACTCTGACGTAGGTCTAAACGAAGGCTGGGACGCACCTTGGCCGAATCAAGTTGCAAACGAGGTATCATTGACCCATCAAAAAAACGAATAACTGCCGACCTCCCATCGGTCGGCATTCTCCCACACTTGACATCTTCACCTCTCTGCGGGCTCCTAGAGACCGAAAAACTGGCCTGCTTGTATACAAATGCTCAGGGACTTTCTAACAAACTGGCTGAACTAAAAGATCGCCAAGCTTCCGGCTCGTATGATGTCATTGGCATCACCGAGACATGGTTGCACACGGGAATGACGGATCCTGAAGTGTCGCTACCCGGCATGTCGCTGATCCGGAACGATAGGCTCACAAAAGGAGGAGGGGTAATCCTGTACTACCGAAACGACTTACAGTGCGAAGCCGTGGAGGATTCAGATTCGCAGTTCCCTGACTCTCTTTGGTGCCGGTTGCAGTTAAAAGGCAGAGACGCTTGCCTTATTATCTTGGTGTACCGCGCCCCTAACTCAACACCCGAAACCGACTACCACCTAATTGCTGCTTTAAGGTGCAGTTTACAACAAAAGTATACTCACATTCTTATCATGGGTGATTTCAACGTACATTGTTTAGAAGCCCCTGCCACGATCGGAGAACAATTCAAAACCGATCTACAAGATCTAGTAACTACTGCTCCTCTTTACAACCACATCACTTTGCCCACTCGGTTCAGAACTGGTAACAGGCCATCTGTGCTGGATCTTGTGCTTACCAACGAGGAGCATATGATTGACGCGTTGGTTTTAGACTGCCCGTTGGGTCGCAGTGATCACGCAGTCATCAGTTTCAATTTCGTCTGCTATGCATAATATCTTAATGAGAACGATGGTACTGTGCGAACCATCACAAGGTACGACCGACTCGCCCAGCTCGTCAGCGCCACAACATGGTCTTTCCTCGAAGAAGAACCCCCGGAAGTCGCCTGGCTCGAGTTCGTCAACACATTCAGTCAGCTGATTGCACAGGCTTCAGAGATGAAAGCTTGCAATAAGTGCAAATCCGTTTCTTTCGTTAGGAGCAGAACCCGAAAATAGATGACAGTACGCAACGCAGCATGGCGAGTGTACAGAGAAGCTCCAGCACCAGAAACTTGGGACAACTACGTAGCCCAACGTAACCACTGCACTCAACTGTTAAGAGAAGACAAAGCCGCCTATCAGCAGAAGATCGCAAAAACCTTCAGTGCTAACCACAAACTGCTGTACAAGCACGTTAATAGCCTACGAAAGGTGAGGCAAGGATTTCCTCCACTCAAGACAGGTGATGGCCCAACAAGAACGTCTATGGAAGCTGCAAACGCGCTGCAGATGCAATACGCCCCCACGTTTAAAAGGGTCTTGCCACCAAGCGATCTACCAAGCCTTGTATTCTGCTCACCAGGACTAACCCACATCAATTTTACCGCAGAGGCTGTATTGCAAAAGCTGACTTCTCTACGCAAACACAGCTCGCCGGGTGTCGACGCCATTCGTCCTAATGCATTGGGAGCAGCAGCAAACCAACTGGCAGGACATTTAACACAGTTTTTTCAGCACTGCTTAGACCAGAACCAAGTTCCCACCATGTGGAAGCTTGGAATAATAGGCCCGATTCACAAAGGTGGAAGCAGATCTGATCCATCCAACTACCGCCCAGTAACCCTTCTTCCTATACTCTCCAAGGTCATGGAATCCATAGTTGCCGATGCACTGGTGTGCTATCTGGAGAACTGCAACCTCATCACTCCTAATCAGCACGGTTTCCGTCGACAGCGATCATGTACAACTAATTTACTAATTGCAAGCAGTAGTTGGACCGAGGCAGCCGACGCTGGAGAAGGTGTTGATGTGATCTACCTGGATATTTTCAAGGCTTTCGATCGTCTAGACCATCGGATACTACTATCCAAGCTGCAGCATTACAGGATCGGGGACCCTCTTTTAAGCTGGATCGCCAACTTTCTATTTCAAAGGCAATTAGTGGTCAGAGTTCGGAGCTCTTTATCGGACCTCATACAAGTGGAGTGTGGTGTGCCGCAAGGCTCGGTTCTAGGTCCACGTTTGTTTCTGGTGTTTATTAATGACCTTGCACAGGGAATCGCTTCAAACTTCCTAATGTTTGCCGACGATATCAAAAGCTGGCGCAGGATCCAGGCGAACGCCGACCAACATGTGCTCCAAAGTGACTTAGATACAGTGTATCAATGGTCGATCCAAAACTTATTGCATTTCAACGTCAGTAAATGCAAGGTGCTTTCCACCCGACATTAAAGCAGCTACTCATACCGACTTGGAACGGATGTACTGCAACAATCAACTCGAACGTGACTTGGGCGTCCTAGTTCAAGGTGACTTGGGTTGCTCCAGGCAATCCGAAAAGACCTCAAAGGCTGGGAACCAACACGTCGGGCTGTTGAGGCGGGCGTTTGGACAAATAAACGGCTCCATATTACGACAAATGCTCAGTGCGGATGTTCGCCCTATGTCGAATTCGCAATTCAAGCCTGGCATCCGTGGCTGAAACACGACCTTAATGCACTGGAGCAGCCACAACCCCGGGCATCTAAGAACGTAAGTGGAATGCGCAATCGGTCCTACCAGGAGAGGCTGCGACGACTAGGATTGTTCATTGGAAGCTATCGCAGGCTACGAGGTGACCTGATTATGACATACTTGATTCTGCGAGACCCACATCATGTGTGCCGCCCTTTACTGCAACTCAGCAGCAATACAAACCTGAGGGGCCACTCATTAAAACTCGCAGAACAATACAGTCGTCTGGAGTGCCGCAGAAATTTTTTTCAATCCGTGTCTGTCACCCGTGGAATACTCTCCCAGAATCGGTCGTCTCTGCACCGACACTAACAATATTTAAAAGACGGTTGGACGGTGCACTCATCCACTTACACTTTGTTACTTAACACTATGTCACCATCCTACACCTGGAGTTTACCCTGGAATTATTTGTTGTTAACTGTGGGTGTTGTGAATCTAAGTGGATCGCAAGACTGCAGCGAAGCAAACGATAAGTCCTTATTTTCGTATTTAAAGTATTAACTATTTTACTATCCTTTTCATCATAATTGTTATGTTGATATCCCCTGCAACTATCCAACGGGGCTTGTAAAGCAACGCTTCTTAACCCGTATAAATTCACTGTTCATTGTTCATTGCTGGGAATTTTCAGCGGACGCTGTCGAATGCTGCGCGGCGATCTGATATTAGCGTATCAGATACTGAGTAACCCCAACGACGTATGCCGCCACCAGCTGAAACCTAACCACAACATGTAGCTCAGGGGTAACTGCTTAAAATTGAAGGAACAATATAGCCGTCTAGAGTGTCGACGGAATTACTCTTCCCTTCGGGTTTCCCAACCATGGAAAGCACTCCCAGATTTAGTTGTATCCTCCCCTACCTTGGACTTTTTCAAAAAGATATTAGATGTTGATCTTAGCTCCCAGTACTTTTATACCGGAACTCTACTTTGGATTACATATAGCATGCTTTTCTACAGGATTTGTTTATCAAATGGACCCAAGTGAGCGAGCAAATTTTACTTTTCTCACGCCCTATATCCAGGAGCCCTGCACCCTAGTATATTTCGAAACTTATACGCTCGAATTTTTTTCAATTTTGATGTTATTCATCAAAGTATTCATCTCGACAGACGTGTGGTAGTTGACTCCCATCTATTTTGACTTCATCGTATTCACCCCAACCATCCTACGGGACGTGTCAGGCAATTGCTTTTATCCCGTAATAAATCATTTTCCATTGTTCCTTGTTCATCTACTTGCTTTTGCGCTGTTGCGATATTGATTCTTTTCATCCTCTTAAACAGTATGGAAGAGGTGAAACAATTGCTGTCGGCGCTGGACAAAAATGATGATGGAAAGGTTAGTGCAGATGAACTACAGCACTTTCTCAGTACTCCGAACTGCAAGATTGACAAGGAGAAGCTGGAAATGGTCATCGCCAGGCATGACAAAGATAAGGACGGAAAACTGGATCTCAACGAACTGGCTGATCTGTTAGCTGGACACTGAGGTTATCTACTTTTGTGAATCAACCAGAATATTGGGCATAAAATGATACCGACGTAAATGGACATCTCTTCTTTTTAACTGGGATATATATTCAGATTATAAATTAGTTTACTGTATTAGAATTGACATTATCCTGCGGACACCTTTCTGTTAGTAAAAAGCATCCTTGTAAGGCGCAGGTAGCCGTACACGTTGCCTCTCGATAGCCAGTCTTCTCCCATTTAAACCTTTACTCATGTCAAACTGGAATGTAGGGTTTGTCCGTGGAATTCAAGTGATGTTAGTTGCATTTATTACGAGTCTTACCCACCTGATTCAATAGCTTAAATTTGTCCACCTTGAAGGGATTAACATAAAATTGTTGTCAACTGAGAGCACGCGCATCAGTCGTAGTACTGAAAGGAGCGCTGAATTTACGGTCCGAAATAAGCACAAAAGGATCCACCTTACCAACTTCTAGACGTTGCTAGAGTGACAGTCTTTACATACCGAAGAAAATGTCGTCAACAGAACAAGCCCTTGGGCACGGTCACATAATGATGGGCTCTAAGAAATGTATGAATACCAAAGGAGAAAGGTGGGACTTTCAACTTCAGTCGTTGCTGTTGTGATGGGAATATTGTTCTATCCTACTCACTGCGGATATTTTCCTCCTGTTTCTACAACTTATTTTCTATATTTGTTTAAGTGGACCAATTTAAGTTTGGTAATTTTAACATACTCTTTTGACCGTTTGATTTGGCTCCATGAGTTTGTCAGATATCCACCTATTGCTGAAAATGTTCTACACGTGTGTATAAAGTATGACTTGATTTGAAAAGGCACCACAGTATTGTTTGTATGTTGCGGTGCAGCCATGACAAAACACTTTACTATTGAACTGGTTCATCCAAGCAGCTCACATGCATGACCAAATACTTCCAAATCCGGGAAGGTACCAGATGTTCGTTTCGACCTATTGGGGCTTGTCAGTGGTGCGCTTTTCCTCGGTCCCCTGCATGGAACGGAACCTGTGACCGCTAGCGGCTTGCTCCAGGTAGCCACTAGCTTATGTCACTGAACCACGGGAGCAGTGGCAAACGGTCGCAACTTGCAAGCCAACCAGGGTATATTACAACCTATCCTCCACTGTCATGCAAGTTACCAACCTTGCCGAGGACAGCAGTTGTCCTCCGGAAATCACGAGTTCCACAGCACAGTAGCTACGTGCGACAAATCATTTGAGCGCTGTGAGAACGCACTTTGGATGACTCATAAGTAGCATGATTGTAGATTAAATTTAACTTACGATGCAGGGTTGACCAATCTAAGCACCATTCACTGGCAAAACAGGTGAGCAGTCGGGTGGTAGAAAGTAAATTGCGGGAGCAACCGTTTCCCGCATTTTAAGCGTAGTAACCAAATGTATATGGTCGAATTTATAACGAACAAAAATGCAATTGGTTACCAAATCTAGAAGTGAACTATGGAAGTCAAAGGGGAAATGCGTAAATATGTTATCCTGTTCACTGAGCTATATATATTTGCCTGCGGCGGCTCCCCACCACACCAGATATCATCTTCAGTGCGTATTAGTAGTGGCTTCGCTGGTAAGCTCAGATCCTGTAGTCCACGGGGGCGAGCCATCAGAAAATAAATGGTCCAGTGCGATGAACAAGGAAAGCGCGAATTGAGCAAATGTTCCGGAGGAATTACAGTTAGCGATATTGTGCAGCTGACTAAGCTGGTGGCTTTTCAGCGAGGTGCCTTGACAGTTTTGAGGTGTTGACATGCGTGGTTTGGATCCTTGAAGATCTAATACACCAATAATGGGTTACCTAACAGATGATGATACTTTTCACCTTAAGCTCCTAGCGTCTTCAGTCTAAGTTGGTAAGGGAGATGAAGCAAGCCCTTGACATCATTAGTCCGCCTTCGTTGTGGAGTCGCAAGATGTACCGGCGTGATCTCAAGAATAGAAGGGTCATGTTTATGCTATAATCGAAGTTACCGAGGCGTTGAGCCTTCAGAATAGACATTCACCGCACCAGAGTGTACTGACCAGATCTCAAGTCACATAAAACAGGCAAGACAGTCGACAATATAGGTTAAGGTGAGAGTGTGTTAGACAGGCGGCGGCCTGAGTCATATGAATCACAGTAGACCAACGGGAGAGAGTGAAGTTCACGATGCGGTGTGTAGGAAGACATTGTACTTTTAAAGCATCGGTTAGCCTGGTGTACCATTTCCTCCTGTGAAAACACGTTCTCCAGACTCATACGAATGAAGTGCTGGGTTCACCTGTAAACCTCGGATCGGTTAGTCGCCCATATACGGCGTAACCGTGATGTGTCTACCGACTGTCATGGACGCACCGTAAATTTTCGCACATGGCGCACATTGATAAAACCGAGAAATTCTAACGGCAGTCTGGAGATCTAATCGGATCTCACATGATGCGCTATGCACCAAGTGCGGCGTCTGCATACCGTAACTACACAGCGCTTCACTCGATGAGGTGCAAACTAGGGATACTTGAACGATCGATACATTCCGGTCAGTGTTTGAGGACAGAATATTTCGCGGAAAACTGAATGCCTGTGAGCTCTACGCTGACCGTTGTTTAGCCGTAGCTCTGAAGTTACCGTTATGTACAGGGTCCACTGTGGTAAAAAATGGACATCGCGTTGGCGGATGAACGTACACGTGGTGCACAGCTGCTGCTATTTCATCGCAGCTATGTTCCCATTAAAGTAGACAGACTGACATACACGTGAGAAATAAGTTTTCGATGTGCCCTTATTTGTATCAAATGTAAGGTTAAAACACGGTGGGCACGCCATTTAACTGGAAGCTAGCTTCCAAAGAAGCACTGTAGGAAAAAGCACCACTTTCAACTAGACCTTTCATTTCAGAAGTAATAAGGACTTGGCAGTATTTTGCTTTTCTGTTAAATAAGCCAAGTTCTAGCTGGAATTTCTCTTTCCTAAAGAACCTACGATACTTAAAGATTATCGGTCGTTTCAGTTCAGTTTAGTGCAGTTGATGAATCATGATCCGGACACCAAAGTGTTGTGGATGCAGTTGCCAAGAATCGCGTCGCCAGAGTGGCAAAAATGAAGAAGGTTAAATAAATGTGGTTAGACTTAAATATGGTATTAGCAGAATGGAAGCAAGAATGAGGTGCATGAAGCTAATCGCATTGAAGTATGAACAATCACACGCAACAGAAGAATTCAGGGGCAGCACTGTGTTATAATCTTCTCACTAGACGCAACTCCAAAAATAACAATTTACTGCTTCACAAAACTTCTAGCCCAACCGAAGGAAGAAAGCAAAACGCCAATGACCTTGACAAAAACAACGTATTAATCGCCGCCAACGAATACTATACAACGACTGCGGACCTTGGCTGTATGTATTGGTCTCTACTGACCTTCGACTTCTAGAATTGGAAGGTCAGCTGCCAAGGTTAGTGGTTCCCCATATCTTTTGCCGAGGTGTCAGGTGGCTTTTAATCACGTGCGGAAGAAGAACATTCCGGAACGTTCGAAATCGATGTGATGATCGTTACTAATCGATTAATGTAATCGATTAATCGCTAAAATAGGGAGTTTCCAAGGCAATTCTTACTTTCTCCCGGACACACTGACTTCAACAATGCGCCACGTCCGATAGAGTCTCTAACCATTAGTTTGGACTAGCACGAGGCCGTCATCTACGAAGACGGCAAGTACCTGCTTGACCAAGTCTCTAGGTTAATTTCAAAGTGAAGCATGCGGAAGTTACCATTTTTATCAGGGCTTCATTATCATGCATACTATTAATGGCACCAAAAATGTCTTAACAGATGAATGCAGTTAACCCCAATGTATCTGTTTTGTAGTAGTGAGCAAACTGAGAGCGCGCAGTCGACCACACTTTGTGTTAAATTTTAAGGTTTCTACACTGAAATAGGTTTGACAGGTTACCAGGTTATTCTAGATTTTTCCTATTAAAAACTGACAGCCTTGTATCGTCTGTAGACTTCCCATGATTGCAACGGCGGTCACAACGGTTAATCTGCTCGCAGCTAGTATCCGAGTATGAATTCGCAACCGAACTCACCAAGCAAGTAGTGCAGAATGTTGTCATTTGCGTGAAACATTTTGTCTAATTTTGTGGATGAGCGGCATACCACCCAGAGATTCTCATGATCTCACCCACAACTTCAACTCCTGAGAACGATTGTTATCGGTTTGTGGTGTATTGGATCAGACATGTACCAGCGTCACAGCAAGGTATGCATTCACTTTCACTGAAAGAACGCAAATATTAGTCAGTTTCATACACTCCAGCTTCAGATATTGAATCCAAACGATCCCGATAAACGGCATACATTTTGCCGTTGGTTTTTGGTCCACATGTGTATTCACTCGGTAATGTTTACGGATGAGTACGTTTTCCATTTGCATGGAACGGACAAACAACATTTCTGGGCTAGTTCAAAGCCACACTGATACACAGCGTCATGTATTCAGCTTGGTGCCAACCTGATGATCTGCGCTGGAATTACCGGTCAGAACGTCGCTGGACCATTTTCTTTTCCAGGGACGTGACGGGTAACTTGTTTTATATTACATAACCCTTACTTTTGCTAGCATCCTCGTACAAGGAAGTGATCCAGACTTGCGTAATGCCACAGTTGGAGGCGGATGGAGCTGCAGTACCATATGGTTGCAGCATGAGGGTGCACCAGCACATTATGCTCAATCGGTACAAGAATATCTCTGCTTCTGGGCGAGTAATATCTACACCAGGTGAGATGTGTTTGAGCAGAGAAGTAAGTTTTGCAGGACAGCTTCCGTGAAAAACATGATGCGGTTGGGTTCCTTCGTTGGGGTACGTGTCAAGGAAATATTGAAATATGACTTCAGTCAACTTGCCAGTATGTAGTGGCTAGTCACATCCGCCACGTCGCAGTGTTGTTTAACGGACTCTTGTGGATTTTTATAGGGAGGACGCTTGCAAGGCGAAAATCCACTACGTCCTGGAACACTGCAGTAAATCTTTTTGAACACTTATATACGACTGGCAAAG